TGATAGTGTATATGCTGTGACTGAGTAGAATACTTAAATATACCGAAATTATCTCCAACTTGATTACAAATAACTTGAGCTGCTTGTCTGTTCCATCCACTGGAAGTACATACACTGCTCCATGCATTATTAACACAAACTTCAACTCTTCCATCATTATCAGTAGATCCTCCTAACAGACGAACATCTCCTGTAGTACAACTGCTTGAACTGACTCCAACAGCTGTCAAATTCATTATTATTACACAAGTGTTAGAATTAAACTTACTGCAAAATACATTGGCATCTCTGCTTAATGAACAAGGATAGCTGCTGTATCCATTGTAAGGACAGTTAATGATATTAGTTTCAGCTCCAGTGCAATTAACATCAATCATCTTATGAGAGATTGTACTGGAACTGTAATATGTAGCTGAAGGACCAATTGCACCTGACAAAAACAGATCAAATATTGTATAATTTAAATGTATAAAATCAATTTACCATATGGTGAGTATCCTAACTGTCGACAAATAACACTTGCATCTTCATTGTTCCAGAAGTCACGACAAATGCTACCCCATCCATTATTCAAGCACACCTCAACAGCTCCATAAGTAGAACCAGAAGTCTAATATGCATAATAACCATGATCATAAATAAAAACATTATAATAGCAAAAGCTTACTAATCGTACTGCACCATTGCTGCATGTTTGAGCATAAACTGCATACTCAAGAAGAAATAGAAGAAAGAAGCAAGTAAGAAGCTTCATTTTTGATAGCTGAGAAAAGAAGTAAATAGCAGATATTCATCAGGTATAATGATACCAGTCACCAGTCTATGAATAATGTTGTACTGATTCAACTGACCCCCACCCTAAGTTAACAGAAGTATGTGTTTACATGTACTTTATGAATACCTTTCATCAATCTGTTTGATCATACAATCATTTTGGCACACTAAGCCCAGGCTGAACTATGCCTAATAGTAACTGGCAAATTGGATTATTCAAATTTAGGTTCATAAAATAACTTACTTACCACCAAGTNTGAATAAGTAGCCTGGAGGTTGAAAAGGTAGCCTGGAGGTTGAATAAGTAGCCAGGAGGTCAAGTAACCTG